TTTAATGTCCACGTATTTGTGAATTTTCCTGCTTTCCTCCTATTATTGATTTCTAGTTTCATACCATTGTGGTTGGAAAAGGTACTTGATATATTTCAATCTTCTTAAGTTTGTTAAGACTTGTTTTGTGACCCAACATATGATCTATACTGGAGAATGTTTTGTGTGAACTTGAGAAGAATGTGTGTTCTCCTTCTGTTGGATGGAATGTTCTGTATATGTCTGTTAGGTCCATTTGGTCTAACGTGTAGTTCAAGTCCAATATTTCCTTGTTGATTTTCTGTCTGGATGATCTATCCGTCATTGAAGGTGGGGTTTTGAAATCCGCTACTATTATTGTGTTGCTGTCTATTTCCACTTTCAGATCTATTAATATTTGCTTAATATATTTAGGTGCTCCAATGTTGGGTGCATATATATTTACAATTATTATATCCTCTTGATGAATTGACCCCTTCGTCATTGTATAAAGACCTTCTTTATCTCTTGGTATAGCTTTTTACCTAAAATCTATTTTCTCTGATGTAATTATAGCTACTCCTCCTCTCTTTTGGTTTCCACTTGCACGGAATATCTTTTTCCATCTCTTCACTTTAGCCTTTGTGTGTCTTTAAAGCTGAAGCGAGTCTTTTGTAGGCAGCATATAGTCTGGTCTTGTTTGTTTGTTTGTTTTATCCATTCAGCCACTCTATGTCTTGTGACTGGAGAATTTAATCCGTTTACATTTAAAGTAATTATTGATAGGTAAAGAATGACTACTGCCATCTTGTTAATTGTTTTTCTGGATGTTTTATAGTTCCTTTATTCCTTTTTTCCCTTCTTTCTGTCTTCTTTTGTGATTTGATGATTTTCCATAGTGGTATGCTTTGATTCCTTTCTTTTCATCTTTTGTGTATCTGCTGTAGGTTTTTGCTCTGTGGCTACCATGAGGCTTACATAAAACGTCTTATAGTTACAACAGTCCATTTTAAGCTATTAATAACTTAGTTTCACTCACATAGAAAACCTATACCCTTTGACTTTTCCCTTCACATTTTATGTATTTGATGTCACAATTTACATCTTTTTATATTGTCTATCTATTAACAAATTACTGTAACTATAGTTATTTTTAATACTTTTGTCTTTTAACCTTTGTAATAGAGTTAAGTGATTTACACACTATCATTACAGTATCAGAGTATTCTAAATTTGACTATATATTTACCTTTACCAGTGAGTTTTATACTTTCACATGCTTTCATTTTACTAATTAGCATCCTTTCATTTCAACTCGAAGAACTCCTTTTAGCATTTCTTCTAAGTCAGGTCCAGTGGTGATGAATTCCCTCAGCTTTTATTTATCTGGGAAATTCTTTATCTCTCCTTCATTTCTGAAGCTTTGCCTGGTAAAGTATTCTTGGTTGACAGTTTTTTTATTTCAGTACTTTGAATAAATCATCCCACTCTCTCCTGGCCTGTGAAGTTTCTGCTGAGAAATCTGCTCATAGCCTTACAGGGGTGCCCTTGTATGTGGTTAGTCATTTTTCTCATTCTGCTTTCAAAATTCTCTTTGTCTTTGATGTTTTTTGCAGTTTTATCATCATGTGTATAAGTGAAGTCCTCTTCAAGTTGAATCTGTCTGTGGACCTATAAGCTTCATGTACCTGGATGTCCATTTCTCTCCCCAGATTTGGGAAGTTTTTAGCCATTATTTCCTTAAATAAGTTTTCTTCCCCTTTCTGTCTCTCTTCTCTTTCTGGGACTCCCATAATGTGAATATTATTTTGTTTGATGGTGTGCCATAATTCATGTAGGCTTTCTTTGCTCTTTTTTATTTTTCTTTCTTTTTTCTCCTCTGACTGGATAATTTCAAGTGACCTGTCTTTGAGGTCACAGATTCTTTCTTCTACTTGATCAAGTCTGCTGTTGATGCCCTCTGTTGCAATTTTCATCTCATTCATTGTATACTTCAGTTCCAGAATTTCTTCTTGGTTCTTTTTTGTGATTTCTCACTTTCAACTTCTCATTCTGAACTCCTCATTTTGTTCATGTATTGTTTTCCATATTTCATTGAGTAGTCTATCTGTGTTTTCTTGTAGCTGAGCTTCCTTAAAGCAATTATTTTTTAATTCTTTGTTCAGCAATTTGTAAGTCTCCATTTCTTTGGGGTTGGTTACTGGAAAATTATTGTGTTCCTTTGGTGGTGTCCTGCCCTTGATTTTTTGTGTTTCTTATAGCCTCCTTGTGTGATGTCTGTGCATTTGATGGAATATTCCCCTCTTCTAGACTTTATGGACTGGTTTTGGTGGGGAAAGACCTTTACCTAAGTGTAGATGCAAGGGTGCCAGCTGGGTGAGGTGTGGCAGTTCTGGTTCCAGGGAAAGTTCTTGTGTAGTCCTGGTGTAGCCCCGTCAGCTGAAGTCAGTGTTGGCAAAGATTGCAGGGGTCCTCAGTGCCCAAGGGTGCTGGAGACCTCTTGATCTTCCTTTCTTCCACAGGGGATATCACAGCTGAAGGGATTCCTCTTGGTGCTAGGTCCAGCTTGCAGGCACCCTTACAGTGGTAATGGCACTGGTGTCTGATGCACAGATGCACACAGAATGGCTGCAGAGCCAGGGTCTGAACCACAGGCACACACGGAACATCCAGGACTCTGGGGTCTAATTGTTGTTTTTTGTGAGGGGACAAAGACTAGTATCTTCTACTCCACCATCTTACTGATGCCACTCTCCTCTGATTCTAAATTCTAAGGGAATTCTTCAAGTGAAAAACTTGAACCAAATAATATCCCAAAAACAGTGCAAGTGCAAAAACTATGTGGTGAGCATTTTGATATATGAAGAGCAAAAATAGGCAAATATTTTTGTGCAAAAGACAAGGTGGTAAATATTTCAGGCTTTGTGAGCCATGCAGTCTCTTTTGCAAACATTCAACTCTCCCTCAGAGCCTGAAAGTAACCACATAAAAATAGGCTATAATACACAAACAACTAATACATAATACATAACATAAGCAAATAGGCGTGGCTGTATTACAAATGAAACTGCATTTATGACACTAAATTTTGGATTTTATATAATTTTCACATCATGAAATATTATTCTTTTTTTTTATTTTTTCAAACCATTTAAAAATGTAATACGTCGTATAAGTGACACGACGTCCTTAAGTCACACGTCGTATAACAGATGGCCAGCTGGGTTTGGCTAGAGTTTGCCAATCCGTGGTCTAAAGCATAATATTAAAATGCAATTTGTTATAGGTTTTGGTCGGGGGGGGTATTTTTTAAGTTTTACTAAATCAAGAGGATTTAGTTATGTGGCATGCTAACAGATTCATTAAACTAGGATGCTTTGGAGAATATGGCACGAAGAAGAGCTAAGCTCTCTCTTGGCACCTTGGGCAGACACAAGACCCTGAGTGGGGTAGGCCATAGCCACGACCCAGATGCTCCAAGAAGATTTTCACGTTGCCAGAAATGTTCTCACAAGAGACAATAAAAGTGGATCTATAGATTATGATTTCACGGGTTGGGGTGGCCATCTGACACTCTTGTCTCATCAATGCTAAAAGTGTGAATTGATCCCACATGCCCCACTCTCCCCCAGACTTTTCTCAGTACACCCACAAATATAGAACAGGTAACCTTGAACTCTGGGGGCCCAACAGGTTCCCCAAGATGAACTGGGCTTCAGGATCCCAGATGAGTCACTTGCATCCTCTCAAAAATTCACCTAAAGAGAGCAGCTGGCCCAGTGACTTAGTGGCTAAGTTCACGCACTCCACTTTGGCAGCCCAGAGTTCACATGTTCGGATCCTGGGAGCAGACCTACACACTACTCATCAAGCCATGCTGTGGCGGTGTCTCACATGTAAAATAGTGGAAGATTGGTATCGATGTTAGCTCAGGGCCAATCTTTCTCAAGCAAAAAAAAAAAAAAAAATCCCCTAAGGAGAGAAGTGAGAGGCACTCAAAATATTCTGAAGGGAAGAAAGGAAGGAGTTGTAACAATTATTCTATTTGGAATCTGACTAAGGTGTAAGCTTGAGGCCCCTCCCTGGGGGACAATCCCTGTCATGTGCTCAGCTCCTCACAGTTCACAAAGCACTTTCCTGTGTGTCTCAGGTGGGTTCCCCCAGAAGCAGACCCTGAGACAGGACTTGAGTGTAGGTGGTTTATCAGGTAAAAAGTGATTTTACCTGATAAAAAGTGATTCCCTGGAAGCACAAGCAGGAGGGAGACGCGAGGCAGGGAAGGTGGGAAACCAATGCAACCTGCATTGTGGAGCAGGTTACCTCTATGAGCAACCAAGGTTCGAAGTGCTGGGCATCTCTAGAAGACAGTGTAGAACACACTCTCTGGGGGGACAACGGACTGCCATCTGTCACTGGTTGAGGGTTCCTTCTGGAGCATTAACTCCCCAGTGTTTCTGGCCCGCCCCACTCATGGGCTGAGAGAGAGCCCTCTGAGGGACAACCACAGGTGTTTGCAGAAGGACGTGCTTGGCATGTTCTTCAACGGTGGGTGCAGAGGGGGACACTGTCAGGAACCAATAGTATCTGCTACACCACCCATTGTCTCTTTTACTCCTCCATGCCCACCTAAAAGGAGAGGTCACAATGCCCAATTTACAGATGAGAATATTGAGGCTCAGTGGGGCTAACAGCTCAGGTCGTGGGCTTAACGAGAGCAGACAGCCATGTCTATTTTGTCCACTCTTTATCCCCAGCCTCTAGAGCAGTGTCTGGCACATAGTAAGCCCTTGACTAGTATTTGTAGAATGAAGGAAAGTGACACAGGGAATATGACTTGGTGAAGTCAAGACTTGAGCTGAGATCTTCTCCCCCAAAGCCCATGTTCCTTCCACTGACCTGGCAAGAGTGTACTGGTGTCGGCAGCCAGCACGGAGTGGGGCTCGAAGTGGGTGCGTAACACAGTTGTGGAATGAGTGAATGAAGGAAGAAACGAACAAATCTGTTCTATACCTTTATGTTCCATCTTTCCCTCCCTTACTCAGGAATCAGAGAAAGATACCAGAAGCAATGGAGAGAGACGCCCTGCCCCACACAGTCAAGGCAAAATGAAGATTTGCACCAAAAATTCGTGCAGCTACTACTTCTACACACATCTGACCCCGGAAGCCATGAGTCCCTGGTCAGGAGATGCTGTCCTCACGGGGTGGTAGAGGAGGAAGGACATTTGATTGAGATTGGAGACTTATTTGGCCCGGGCCTGGGTACCCAGAGAGGGCCTCACACAGTCGTACTGCATGGGGTTACTGGAATCGGGAAGTCGACACTGGCCAGACAGGTGAGAGGAGCCTGGGAGGAAGGTCGGCTGTACAGGGACCGCTTCCAGCACGTCTTCTACTTCAACTGCACAGAGCTGGCCCAATCCAAGCCAGTGAGTCTTGCCAAGCTCATGGGAGAAGACTGCGCTGCCCCAGCGCCTCCCATTCGGTCTCAGCAGGAAAAGATGCTCTTCATCCTCGATGGTTTAGATGAGCCAGAATTGGTCCTGGAGGAGCAGAGGCCTCTCTGTGAGGACTGGAGCCTACGGCAGCCAGTGCCCAGAGTACTGCACAGTTTGCTGAGGAAAGTCTTACTTCCCGAGGCATCCTTGCTGGTCACAGCTCGAACCCCAGCTCCACAGAAGTTCATTCTTTCTTTGGAGCACCCACATTGGGTGGAAGTCCTTGGATTCTCCGAGTCCTCCAGGAAGGAATATTTCTACAGATATTTCACAGAAGAAAGCCAAGCAGTTCAAGCCTTTAGCTTGGTTGAGTCAAACCCAGCCCTCTTGACCCTGTGTCTCGTGCCCTTCGTGTCCTGGATGGTCTGCACTTGCCTGAAGCAGCAGATGGAGCGGGGGGAAGAACTCTCACTGACATCCCAGACCACCACGGCCCTCTGTCTGCACTACCTTTCCCAGGCTCTCCCAGCTCAGCCCCTCAGGACTCAGCTGAGGTGCCTCTGCTCTCTGGCTGCTGAGGGAGTCGGGCAAGGAGAGACCCTGTTCAGTCTGAACGACCTCAGGAAGCACAGGTTAGATGGAGCCTGCATCTCCACTCTCCTAAAGATGGGTCTTCTTCAAAAGCACCCCACCTCTCAGAGATACAGCTTCATTCACCCGTTTTTCCAGGGGTTCTTTGCAGCAATGTCCTATGCACTGGGGGATAAGGAGAAAAGTGATCATCTTAACAGCACCAGACGCATAAAAAAGTTGCTAGAAAAATGTGAGAGGCATGACCCGTTTGGGACACCAACCACACCTTTCCTATTCGGCCTTTTGAGTGAGCAGGGGGTGAGAAAGATGGAGCACATCTTCAGGTGCAAGCTGTCTCAAGAGAGGAAGGGGGACCTGCTGCAGAAGGTGGAGGCAGAGGTGCGGCGAGGGCATCCCTCCCTGCCACCATACTCGCTGCAGGTGCTCCGCTGTTTGTATGAGATTCAGGACGAAGACTTCCTGACGCAGGCAATGGCCCATTTCCAAAGAACAAGGATGTACGTCCAGACCGACATGGAGCTCCTGGTGTTCACTTTCTGTGTTAAATTCTGCCACCATGTGGAAAGGCTTCAGCTGAATGAGAGTGGACCACACAGACAGGCGTGGAGGCCCTCCAGTGTGGTTCTGTGAGTACCGCCACCCACCCCTCTCTCCAGCTGCTCTGTCGGTTCCACCCTACTCAGCACTGGGGGCTAAAAGATCAAGGTCACCGGTGACTTCTACCTGTCAAATCTGACTGCCATTCTCTATCTACCTAAGATGCTCTGCAGCAGCATCCAACTGTGTGGCGTGCCCGCCTACTTCAGGGCAGACCCGCTGTGGCCCTGCCTTGTGCCGCTGCTTCTCCTCCTGCCTCTGTGATTACCGCCACCTTCCCTTCTGGGCGTGCTTCCACCCGCACGCTGTCCTGAGTTCCCCTCCGCACAGCCCACCTGCCTCTGTTTCTCTCTCTTGACATGTTTCTCTCTGAGCAACTGCTCCCTCAGCTGCTCAGACATGCCCTGGCTGGCTGTCGGCAATGACACTGGCCCTGAGCTCTCTCCCATCACCTTGGAATGTGTGTGTTCGAAAGGGAGTCTCTATTTTTTCCTGCAAAACTGACTTCCTTGTTTGTGTCGGTGATGCATGGCTGCCCGAGGCACTCCACCTGAAATGCCCCATCTGAGCATGACAGTAGCTTTGTCTAACCATCTTCCAACCCCAGCACCACTATTAACTTCCCCACCCAGATTCCCCGACTTCGCTGCAGTATTGGTCATTTAGTACTGTTATGTGTCTATCTCCCCCTTCAGATGATTCATTCCATAAATATTCACTAAGCGCTGATTTTATGCCAGGCCCTGAAGATCACAGATTAACAAAGCACAGTCCCTCCCCTCAAGGAGCTCAGACTTTGGGGGAGAAGAGAGCCATCCGTCCAATAATTAGAAGAGAATGCCATGCCTGTAGTAACAGAGGCATGGACACAGCCCGATGGTGGCCAGAGGAAGGGAGTGACCACACCAGTGGACCAGAAAAGGAAAGGGTCTCAGGGAAAGAAATGTTGGATTTGGGTTTTTTATTTTCAGATTTTTAAAGTTTTTTCTCGCAATAAAACCCATGCTCATTGTAGAAAAATAAGGATATGTAGACAAGCAAAATGATAAAAAGTAATACGAACCAGAATTCCATCACTCAGAGATGATCGCCATAAAGAATATATCTGACCAGCCCTGTGGCCGAGTGGTTAAGTTTGTGCACTCCACTTTGGCGGCCCAGGGTTTCGCCAGTTCAGATGCTGGGCACGGACATGGCACGGCTCCTCGGGCCATGCTGAGGCAGCGTCCCACATAGCACAACCAGAGGCACTCACAACTAGAATATATAACTATGTACCAGGGGGCTTTGGGGAGAATAAGAAAAAAAAAAGATTGGCAACAGGGGCTGGCCTGGTGGCGCAGCGGTTAAGTGCACACGTTCCGCTTCAGCAGCCCGAGGTTCACTGGTTCGGATCCCAGGTGCGGACATGGCACCACTTGGCAAGCCATGCTGTGGTAGGCGTCCCATACTTAAAGTAGAGGAAGATGGGCATGGATGCTAGCTCAGGGCTGGTCTTCCTCAGCAGAAAGAGGATTGGCGGTGGATGTTAGCTCAGGGCTAATCTTCCTCAAAATAAAGGATTGGCAACAGATGTTAGCTCAGGTACCAATCTTAAAAAAAAAAAAAAAAGAATTGAAGTATATCCTCCAGTTTTTTCTCTATGCACATTTCTACGGCAAAACTGAAACACACTGTACATTTTATTCTACAGTCAGCTTTATTTTCCTTATGTTTATATCAAGGCTATCTTCTCATGTTATTAAGTAGCCTGGTACAACATCATTTTGAATGACCACGTGATATTCAATAGGGAAGATGCCACCACAGATGTGACCATTCCTCTATTTTGGGTACTTAGGTTGTTTCCTGTTAGTTCTTCATGGTTATAAACCTGAACTGGGCCTTGAAGGACCTCTTGACATGTTTCTCTCTGAGCAACTGCTCCCTCAGCTGCTCAGACATGCCCTGGCTGGGTATGGGTGTTACAAGTGATGGTGGCATGACGTGCAGACCTTCAGAAGTGTCCTGAGCGGGCACAGAGACATGGCCAGGTGGGATGTAAGAGGAACAAGTGACGCTGGGCTGGAGCAAGAGAGTCTGGAATAGATGGTGGCAAATGAGCTGAGAGAGCCCATGGGGAAGTCAGAGGCTTCAGCTGCAAGTGAGGAGGGAGATTTTAAAGGCACTGAGTCAGCCAGACAAGGCGGGCAGAATAACAAGGAGGCTGCTATAAACGAAGAAAAATGCCAGGAGGAAACGTTGTGGATTGGCCAAGGGCTGTGGAAGGGAGAGGAGGGCCAACCTGAGACAGTAAGGATGGGCAGCTTCCAGGTCTTTGGCTTATAATTAAGCATTGTGCATTTTGAATAATAAATCTTTAATTTTTACTTTCAGTCCCTCTGATTAAAGATAGCAAATGTTGACCAAAACAAAAAGTTAAAAAATGTATTATTCAAATTTCCCAAAACTAAATAAATGTGAAAGAAATTCAAATAATTAAACTTTCAAATGATCGTTTTGGGGGTATCTTTGAAGCATTTGTACTTCCCCTCCACACAGCCCACCTGCCTCTGTTTCTCTCTCTTGACATGTTTCTCTCTGAGCAACTGCTCCCTCAGCTGCTCAGACATGCCCTGGATGGCTGTCGGCAATGATCGTTTTGGGGGTATCTTTGAAGCATTTGTACTTCTGGAGCTGTTAAAGCTTAAAAGTGCATGAAGGGGCCGGCCCCATGGTGTATTGGTTAAGTTTGGTCACTCTACTTCGGCAGCCCAGGTTTGCAGGTTTGGATCCCAGGGACAGACCTACACTACTCGTCAGCCATGCTGTGTCAGAGACCCACATATAAAGTGGAGGAAGACTGGCACAGACGTTAGCTCAGGGCTAATCTTCCTCAGCAAAAAAAAAAAAAAAAAAGCACTAAGACTTTTGGGATACTCTGTAATATCTTTTGATCCTCACAAAACCCTCTGCAGTAGGAACTCTTGCCTCTTTTTGCATGCGAGGAGAATAAATGAGGCAGAGAGAAGTGGGATTCATATGCAGGCAGCTGGTTCCAGGGCCTCTGCTGCTCACCTCTGCACAGCCCCACAGACTTAGGGCGAAGATGAATCAAGCTGGGGACATATTGGGATGTATTAGGTCAAGGTGCTATGGAGGTGTTGAAGTGGAGATATCTGTCAAGAAAGTAGAGATGCCAATCTGGACCTTGAAATAGAGTTTGAGTCATTGAAGCCCAGGAAGTAGACGAGACTAAGAAAGTAGTGTGTGAAAATGGAGAATTAAATGGGTGGCAATTACATGAGGCGACCTACTCAAACACTCCCAGGAGAAGCCTGTCATCCTCCCCCGTCCAGCTACAGATGGTCTCTCCTGGGACATTCCCTTTGGCCATCTTTCTCCTGGGGACTCTCTCTGTGGTCTTGCTATCCTTGGAAGGGGATAGGGTCCCACGTGAGTCAACCTGGACAACAGTATCTATGGTCATGTACCACGTTGCCATCACACAGTCATCCTCAAACCACCAATCCCAGGCTTGATTCCCTCCTCCCATCTCCTCCTTTCCTTTCTGGCACTGGGACTCAGAATGTCTGTGCCAAAGGAAGACAGGTGTGTCTGCATTGAAAGGAGGAAGGCTGTCCGGATCCCAGAGCTCCTCCTCTGTGCCAGGCCCAATGCTGGGCACTGCAGATTAAATAGATGGGAAACATCGGCCGCTGCCCTCAAGGAACTCCCACACTGAGGCAGAAACACACACACAAATTGAACACTTCGGTACAGAATGGCAAGGGCTGTAGAATGAGGAGCCACACAGAGGAGGGGCACCTAGCCCAGGGCGGCAGGGGCAGTAGGGGAGGCTGGTCAGTCCTGGGGACAGCACTGTCCGTTGTGCCTGGCTCTCAGAGAGCACAGCCCCACTGTGTTGTGCAGGGCTGTGCACCTCAGACACCACACACACAAGTCACATCTCTCCTGTCCCTCTCTCCCTCCCTCAGGTTGAGCCGGGCCCCAGTCACAGATGCCTGCTGGAAGGTTCTCTTCTCCGTTCTCCAGGTCACTGGGAGCCTGAAGGAGCTGGACCTGAGTGGGAACTTCTTAAGCCTCTCTGCAGTACAGAGTCTTTGTGAGGCCCTGAGACACCCTCGCTGCCACCTGCAGACCCTGCGGTGAGTCTGGCCTGTGTTCTGTTCTGAAACCGGGATGGACCTAAGTCTGGGATGGGAGATCGGTCTTTATATTCAGCAAATACTCACTGCACCCTTCTCTGGCCATGCACTGTGCCAGGTGCCAGGGCTACTACAGGAAACAGTCACAAACAGGATTTTTTTCTATCACAGAGTTTGCAAGAGACTGACCTGAATCAAGGAACCACACAAACAAATGTGTAATTACAGGCCCAGATAAGGGCTCCAGTGGAAAACTTCCTTAAGGAAGGATGTGAAGCTTGAAAAAGATCTGAAGAATACAGAGGATTTACCCAAGTGAAGCAGGAGGGAAAAAAGTTTCAGGCAGAGGGAACAACATGTACAGAGGCCCTGTGGCAGGAGGGAAGATGGGCAGTCAAGGAATTGAAAGAAGACCATGTGTCTGGGGGGTAGAGAGAGCAAAGTGGTGAGATGAGGCTACAGAAATCAATAGGAGCCAGACTATGCAAGGCCTCCAGGGCCCTGTTGGAATTTGGGGGTTTTTTTCCTAATGCAATGGGATTTTAAGCAGAAGGTTAACAAGATGGGTACATTTTCAAAGTAGAAACAGATGGCAATGTGAAAAATGGATTGCAGGAGAGCAGAAGTTCAGGTTAGAAAACCAGTTCGTATGAAAATTTCAGTAGTTCCTGTAAAGATGGTGAGAGCTTGGACTAAGGAAAATTACAATAGTTTCTGTAAGAGATAGTGATAACTTAAGACTGTAGTGTTGGCCGTGGAGATGGAAAGAAGTGAGTGGGTTCAAGAGATGTATAAAGGTAAAGTCAGCCAGACTCAGTAATGGACTGGATTTATGGAGAAAGGGAGATGGAGATATCAAGGATGACCTGAGGTTTATGGCTGGAAGAACTCATGGGATTGTGGCACCTTCACTAAGTTGGAAAATCCTGGGAGAGGAGTGATTGAAGGATAGGATGTCATGAGTATGATTTTGGCCGTGTTTCTTTTAAGTTCCTTTGAGGTATCCAAGTGGAGATGTCAAGCAGGTATCAAAAAAATCTCTATGCAAAAATAAGATTGCCCCATAAAACAAACCTCAACAAATTTAAAAAGGTTGGAATCATGCAAATCATATTCCCTGACCGTAATGGAATGAAATTAGAAATCAATAGCAAAGGAAAATTTCGAGAATTCACAAATACACAGAAATCAAACAACATACTCCTAAATAACCAGTGGATCAAAGAAGAAATCACAAGGGAAATTAGAAAATACTTTGAGATGAATGAAAATGAAAACACAACATACCAAAAGTTATTCGATGCAGCTGAAGCAGTGCTTAGAGGAAAATTTATAGCTATCAATGCCTATGTCAAAAAAAAAAAGAAGAAAGGATACCACTACACATCTAGTTGAATGGTGAGAATCCAGAACACTGTCAACACCAAATGCTGGCAAGAATATGGAGCAATAGGAACTCTCATACATTACCGGTGGGAACACAAAATGGTACAGCCACTTTAAATGATAATTTCACAGTTTCTTACAAAATTAAACATACTCTCACCATATGATGCAACAATCATTCTCCTTGGTATTTACCCAAATAACTTAAAAACTTGTGTCCACACAAAAACTTACACACAGATGTTTATAACAGCTTTATTCACAGTTGCCAAAACTTGGAAGCAACCAAGACGTCCTTCAGTAGGTGAGTGGATAAATAAATTGTGCAACATCCATACAATGCATATTATTCAGCACAAAAAAAATGAGCCGTCAAGCTATGAAAAGACATGGAGGAAACTTAAATGTGTATTATTAGGTGAAAGAAGATAATCTGAAAAGATTACATACTGTATGATTCCAACTATGTGACATTCTGGAAAAGACAAAACTATCGAGACAGTAAAAAGATCAGTGATTGCCAGGAGTTAGTAGGGAGGGAAGGATGAATAGGCAGAGCATGGAGAATTTTTAGGACAGTGCCACTATTCTGTACGACATTGTAAGGGTGGATACGTGCCATTATATGTTTGTCCAAAACCGTAGAATGTACAACACTAAAAGTGAACCATAATGTAAACTATGAACTTTGGGTGATTATGATGTGTCAATGTAGGTTCACTGATTGCAGCAAATGCACCACCGTGGTGCCAGATGATAATGGGGGAGGCTATGCATGTGGAATCAAGGGGTATATAGGAACTCTCCATGCTTTATGCTCAATTCTGCTGTGAACCTAAAACTGCTCTAAAAAATAAAGTCTGTTTAAGAAAGAAGGAGGAGAGGGGAAGAAGGAATAAGAAGGAGAAGGAGGAGGAGGAGGAGGACGAGGAGGGAGAGGAGGGGGAGGAGGAGGAGGAGGAGGGAGAGGAGGGGGAGGAGGAGGGGGAGGAGGGGGAGGAGGAGGAGGGGAAGGAGGGGGAGGAGAAGAAGCTCAAATGAATGACTTAAACTTCTAGCTTAAAAGACTTAAAAAGAGAGAGAGGGAGGGAGAGCAAGCATAACCAAAAGCAAGGAGAAGGAAGGCAATGATAGAGACTAAAATGGAAATAAATAAAATAGAGAGTAGAAAAATAATACAGAAAATAATGAAACCAAAAGTTGGTTCTTTGAAAAGATGAACAAAATGGAAAAAGTTTTAGCTACTGACTAGGATAAAAAGAGAGAAGATTCAAATTACTAAAATCAGGAATGAAAGAGGGGACATCACAACTGACCTCACAGAAAAATTTAAAAAGAACTTTAAGGGAATATTATGAAATATTATAAGCTAACAAATTAGATAACCTAGATGAAATGGACAATTTTCTAGGAAAACACAAACTACTGAAACTGATTCAAGAAGAAATGGAAAATCTGAATAGACCTATAACAAGTAAAAATATTGAATTAGTAAGCAAAACCTTCCTACAAAGAAAAGCTCAGGCCCAGAAGGCTTCACTGATGAATTCTACCAAACATTTAAAGAAGAGTTAGGGGCTGGCCCCATGGCCGAGTGGTTAAGTTCGCGCCCCCCACTGCAGGCGGCCCAGTGTTTCATTGGTTCGAATCCTGGGCGCGGACATGGCACTGCTCATCAAACCATGCTGAGGCAGCGTCCCACATGCCACAACTAGAAGGACCCACGAGGAAGAATATACAACTATGTACTGGGGGGCTTTGGGGAGAAAAAGGAAAAAAATAAAATCTTTAAAAGAAAAATAAAATAAAATAAAAAATAAAGAAGAGTTAACACCAATATTCTCAAACTCTTCAAAAAAATAGAAGAGGGAACACTTGCCAACCATTCTGTGAGGCCAGCATTACCCTGATAACAAAATCAAAGACAAGAAAAGACATCACAAGAAAAAAGAACAACTACAGACCAATATCTCTTATGAATATAGACGCAAAAATCCTAACAAAATGCTAAAAACGTATAAAAAGGATTGTACACCATGACCAAGTGGGACTTATCCCAGGAATGCAAAGTTGGTTTAACCTAGGAAAATCAATCAGTGTAATACATCATATTCATAGAATGGAGGACCAAAACCACATGATCATTTCAAAAGACACAGAAAAAGCATTTGACAAAATCCAACACCTTTTCACGTTAAAAACACTGAACAAACTATGAATAGAAGAGAACTTTCTCAACTTGATAAAGAGCACCTACAAAAAACACAAGCTAACATCATACTTAATGGTGAAAGACTGAATGTTTTCCTGTTAAGATCAGGAACAAGACAAAGATATCCACTCTTGCCACTTCTAATCAACATTATACTAAAGATTCTATCTAGGGCAATTAGGCAAGAGAACAAAATTTAAAACTTCCAGATTATAAAGGAAGAAGTAAAACTATATTTTAAACTGACATGATCTTGTATGTAGGAAATCTTAAAGAATCTACAAAAATACCTATTAGAACTAATAAACAAACTCAGCAAGGTTTTAGGCTACAAGGTCAACATACTAAAATCGATTGTACTTCTATACACTAGCAATGAACAATCCAAAAATGAAATTAAGAAACAATTCCATTTACAATAGCATCAAAAAGAATAAAATACTTAAGAATAAATTTAACAAAAGAAGAGCAAGACTTGTAAACTGAAAACTACAAAACGTAATTGAAGAAATTAAATAAGACCTAAATAAATGGAAAGATATCCCATGTTCATGAATTGGAAGATTGAACGTTGTTAAGATGTCAGTACTCCCCAAACTGACCCATAGATTCAATTCAATCCCTATCAAAATACCAGCTGCCTTTTTTGTGGAAATGGTCAAGCTGCTCCTAAAATTCAGATGCAAAGATAAGATTCATGTCTAGCCTTGGGGAACCCCCTCCCCCAGTGTTTAATGACCAGGAAAAGAATAGTCAACAAAGCCACCTGAGAAGGAGCAGCCAGGGAGGTGGGACGAACACCAGGAGAATGTGGTGTCATGGAACCCAAGGGAGCAGAGGATTTCAAAGAGGCTGCGACCTGCAGGGGCCATTACTGCTGGAGGGCAAGTAAAATAAGGGCTGAAAGTTGTCTATTGGATTACCTTAGCAGAAGCAGCTTTTGTGATGTGAGGGCACCAGAATCCAGGTTGGACTGGATGGAAGAGGGAGATGAAGGTGGAAAATGAGACCACAAATACAAACTCTTTTTTCAAAGACTTTGGTAGTGAAGAAGAGGAAAGAACTGAAGCAGAGGGGAATGTGGGAATGGCCAGAGGAAGCGGGGTGTGTGTGTATCCTTGCTTGCATTTAAGAAGGAAAAGACCTTAGTCTGAATGGCAGCGGAGAAGGGATGATGAAAGATACAAAAGGAGAAGGAGTAATTAATGGTCTCCCTTTCCTCAGAGGGAGAGACAGAAGACTGGCCTTGGAGGAGTGAGGCAACAGCTCCTCTACTGTAACAGGAGGGCGGGTAAAGACAGGGAAAAGGTAGGCACATAGGCACATAGGTTTGAGTGTGGGAAGCTGACAGGTTCCCATCTAATGGCTTCATTCTTCTCTGTGAAGTAGGAATTGAGTTTTCTGCTGAGAGTGTGAGGGTTGGGGTGTTACATGTTTGGGGAAGGTAAAATCTTGAAGTGGCCATTGTGGAGTCGGAGATTTCTGCCTGCCAGGTCTTGTTGAGTCCCATGTGAGAGTTGTGGCCATGATTCTTGATGTCAGCCATCAGCCCTGTTACTCAGGTGGCAGTGGGCATGGGGGAGCTGGAGAATGGCAGAGTTTGGGTTTAGCCAGAGGGATGTGATTAAAGGGTAAGAGGGTAAGACATTCATGATATCACCAGTGATGGACCATGGAATCTAAGCTAGATTCCAAGTGAAGAAAAGAAAGTGGTGAGAGATTGGGAGAAAGCAGAGGGTTGGGGATTGCTCACCGAAGAAGGTCTTAGTGGGAGAAGTTGAGCAAGCAGAGTAAGGAGGTAAAGCCAGCCTTTGTAACTTCCTGTGGCCACAGGAGGCTGCCCCATCACTCCTAAAACCATTCCAGTGCTAACCCCCCGAGTGTAGGAAAGGGAAAGAGAAAATGGTTTTGAAGGGACTCAGAAATCCTGGTTCCACCTCAAATTTCCCACCCTATTGGGAAGACACCAATCTACAATGTGCTTCTTACATTGGTTTAGAATTTCACAATTTCCATCCATCATCTTCTTGGACCTTCAAATAAAACCTATGGAAATGGCAGAGCAGGGATGATTATTTCCATTTTCCAGATGATAAGAACTGAGGCTCAGGGAGGCTAACTGACTTGCCCAAATTCACACAGCTAGAAATGAGAGAACCAGGACACAAACCCATTGAGGGCACAACCCAGCACCAACACTACCTCTTTATTAGCAAAGCCAGGACTTGATTCATGCTGGCTCACTGGGGTTCTGTCATAAAAAGAAGGAGTTTTCCCCAAGATTATCAATCCTGGAACAGGCAGATGTGAATATTTTTCCCACTAGAAAAACTGGCTCTATACGGATGAGCTCAGAGCTTTACTGACTGTGGATGCAAGACTATCTAAGACCCTCAAGCAAAGACCTAACTAATGATTGAGTTTCTCTTGAAATAAGTTGAATAGGCTAGAACCAAGGTTGCTGGGGTGTTTGTTTTTTGTGTGCATGCAGAATTGAGCATATTCCACAGACAAAGAAGAAGAAATTGGTAGAGGAGAGGCTGGACATCTGAAAGAGGGGATGCCAGAAAGAGCAATGTCACGGGGGAAGCAGAAGGGCGTGGAATCAAAGACACAGGAAGGAAGAGCCTTGGCCCCCTCTGGGACAGAAGAGAAAGAGGGGGGCTTCATGAAAACTGAAATGTGAGGCCGCATGAAAGCTGAGGACGGAGAGGTGGAGGGAAGTCGAGGAGTTCAGGTCCCACAGCAGCAGCATTCTTTACGCACTGTTCTAAGCACATGGCATATATTATCTCCTTTGACCTTTGCAACCATTTTGGGCAAGACGCATGGTGAGTCCATGTTACAGATCAGTAAACCTGAAGATAAAGAAACCTGCCCCCAGTCTTCAACTCGAACTGGCAGGCAAGATTTGAACCCATGTCCATGTGGCTCCACAGCCTGTGTCCTTCACCAGCCCATTCCACTGCCCCGGTCAGGTGACCTCAGCCTCCTCACTGAAGTCCAAGGCCAAGCATCCTGGGTGGGGCTGGGGAGGAGTTGGGGATTTGAGGAAAGGGAAAACACACAGCATAGCTTGAATGATGAGTCATTCAAGGATGAGTAAACCCTCAAGAGAAGGGTTTGTTGAAGCTGAGATGGGTCCTGGGGGCAGGAATATGCCCAGTGGGAACCCGCATGTCAACAAGCAGGAAATCAGACAAGAAGATGGGTGGAACTCATCAGCCAGGGAGGGTGTGGGCTGGCAGGAGGAAGCCGTCAGGAAAGCAGGCGCGAAGCTACGAGGCGTGGTAGATGATGGGGCACAGAGCCACGTCAGTAGGGATATCTGCCAACTGGATCCTTATCTTTCTTGGGCCACATTCTGCAGCTCAAGGTTGGGGGCAGAGAAGGAAGCCAGAGCCTGTCTGGGGAGACACAACCAATGGCCAAGGGCGTTCTGAAATGTCAGGCGCTGGGACGTGTCTTTGATAAAGCTGACCTGGGATTCCAGGCTGGGTGGGGAAATCCAGGAGGAAGCCAGAAAGACCAAGGAGGAGGGAAAGCAGGTCCTGTGTGAGCGAGGAAAGACAGCGATTTTCGAGTGGGGGCCTCTGATGTCCAACCAGGACGATAAGCAGGCCCCACCTTCAGCTTCCTCCCTCCTCAGGCAGAGCCTCTCCCACGACCACACCCCGTGACCCCTCCCCACAGGCACCTGCCAAGTCTCCATCTGCTGCTCCAGGCTCAAACCCAATGCCCCCCTCCAGAGTGTCCCAGAGGCTCCTCAGCTCAGCGTATTCTAAACTAGACCTTACCCCCAACCAAAGAAAACCTGCTCCTCCTCTCAGGACCACTACAAAGTTTCAGGATCCAGAAACAGAATCAAAATGCAGTGCCCTTGCTCAAAAATCAGGAAAAAATGCCACTGACAAGACTAAGATAGAAATTTTTTTCCTCTTCCACAGTCTCTCTCTCAACCTATCGTGGTGTTTTTTATTTGCTGTTTAATATTGCACTGTCTCTCACATGGGGATGCTAGCAGATGTGTGCAGACCCTTGCAGCTGCCTGGAAGCACTGCCAACAATTCAGCGTGTGCACACAGCCCACCAGATGCCAGGTTTCTCCTCCCACCAGCCGCCAGACCCATGCACCGTGCCCTAGAGTGGGTAAAAAAGTTAAGCCAGACACCCACCACCCCAACCCACAGCACATGGGAGACCCCCAAGGACTGCCACCCTAACCCAAAGTAGATAGGAGATCCCCCACCAGATTACTACCAGGACGCACGAGGTATCTGGATCAGCAGTGGGTGAGAGACTTGCCCCCACCAAATCACCAAATGTGCCGTGGTGCTGCCAGCCCAGAGCAGGATGGCTGCCTCCATGCCCTTCTCCAAGATGCCCAACCCAGATCCTCACCATGCCTGATCCGGGCGCCCATGGGGACAATGGTCAATGGGCAGAAGGAAAGGCTAGGGTAGGTCCCACTGCATCAGGGGACAGGGGAGTGGGTGGCCAAGAACTCTTCAGGCAGAAGGAGGGAGGTGGCAGGAGATGGGGACACACAGGAGCCAAAGCTCCAGTGTCCCATCAGACTTTAATTACAAAACACAAATTCAAAGAAAAATTATTAAGAAATTCAAGATGGCAGCCAGATTATTAAACCCCAAGGACAGGACCATGTGCAACTGCACTGGTTGTACATCCATGAAGCTGACCTTGCCTCCTCTCACATTGACTCTCTCAGTAAGTGGCAGCAGCTTCAGCTCTGCACCTCTTGGAGAAGCCTCCCCAATCCCCACATCTAGAGGCACCGAGCGCTGTTGGGTCCACCAGAAAAGTCTCCCACAGCCACTGCTCTGACCCAGGTGCTCATCCGCTCCCACCTGGACCACTGCTTCCTGCCTCGCCCCATCCAACCATCCTCCACTCGCTGTCAGGCATCTTTCCAAAGCAGTGCCGAGAACACATCACTACCCTCCTCAAGAACTGTCACCGGCTCATCACTGCCACCTGAACAAGGTCCAGACAGCTAATAATGACATGGGAGACCTACCACTATCTCGATATTTTCCAGCTTTACCCTCAAACTTCATCTCCCCTCGTGTAGCCTTTATGCCAATGTCACTAAACTAAACACACGCTGTAATTTCACATCCACTCTGCCAGCCGGTCCCCTTCCTCCACCCTCATCTTGGTGAACTACTCGTCATTCAAGGACACATACGTCTTCTCCTCCTTCCCTCGTCAAAATTAGTCACTCCTTCTCTGCCTTCAGCTGCGCCTGGCTTGCCCTCCTTGACACTATTGCATTCATTCATTCACCACATACTTATTAAGTGCCTACTATGTGCCAGGCACTGCCCTAGGCACTCAGCTACAACTAGCAATGAAAATGGGCAAAACTCCTTCCTCATGGAGCTTACATTCTGGAGCAGGGGGGACAAAAAGCCAGATAAATAAGTAAAATATATTGTATGTGGTTTGGGCTATAGAGAAAAGTAAAGCAGAAAAGGGTAGGGGGTGGGCTGGGTGTGTAATTTTAAACAGGGAGAGCAGTGAAGCAAGACTTCACCATGGTGACTTTTGAGCAAAGACCTGAAGCAGGTGAGTGAACAAGCCATGAGATAGCAGGTAAGAAGATCATTCCAGGCAGAAGAAACAGCAGGTGCAAAGGCCCTGAGGTGGGACCATGCCTGGAATATTTAAGGAACAGTGAAGATGCAGCTAAAAGGGATATGAGATGAGGACAGAGATGACAAGGAGTCAGATCTCCAGGGTCCCATAGACAAGGACAGGACCTTGATTTTAATTCTGATGACATTGGAAGACATGGGAGGGTTTTGATCAAAAGACAGCCGAAAACTGACTTACTGTTATTTGTTTCTATGTCTATCCCTCAGAACCTATGCATTTCAAGGGGCACTGGGGTCTTACTGACCTCTGCCCAGCCCACAGGCCTGGCTCAGAGTAGCTGCTCAATGGGTGCTTGTGAGTGTTTGTGGAATCAACAGGTGAGTAAAGTCAAGGCCACCGGTGTATGTCTCCCGTAGATTGGCCAGCTGTGGCCTCACAGCTGAAGGCTGCAAGGACCTCGCCTCCGGGCTGAGCACCAGCCAGACCCTGACGGAGCTGGAGCTGAGCTGCAATGTGCTCGAGGACGCCGGAGTCAAGCACCTTTGCCAGGGTCTGAGACAGCCAAGCTGCGTGCTGCAGCGACTGCTGTAATTGCTCCTCATTGACACTACTTTGTGGGGTGGGCGCAGGGAGGCGGAGGGAGCTGCCCTCCCACCACGGGGCAGAGAGAAGGTGAGAGCTCAGGGGCGTGGCCAGGATGCACCCTTGATTCCAACTAAAGCAATCAGATTCCTCCTCAACCCTTGCTCTTGTATTAGAAGCTCGGTCTTTTTTCTCCCGTGTAGTGGATGTTGAAACCCACCAAGCATCCCACGTCAGCTGACGCTATGTGTTTGGCAGGGCCAAAGTGGTTAACACTTAGACAAGTGGGACAATGGGACAATGGGTCAATTAAGTGTCCGAGATTGGCATGGCGAGTGGGCAGGATTCATGGGACTCATGCAGGGGTGAGGAAGGAAGGCTGCCTGCATCTTGAGTGGCTCCTTGGCTGCAGCAGGAAAATGTAAGTCTCCCAGTTCACTGCAAGCCAGACATCTCTTTATCTTCCTTTAATGTCACTGCGGACCACCAAAGGGCCACAGGTACTAGAAAGGGAAACCAGACCCCAGTCACCCGGAGGAGAGGGCCCTCAGGATAATGCCTGTGGGCCTGTGTGCATCTCTCCTGCAGGCTGGTCAGCTGTGGCCTCACGTCTGGCTTCTGCCAGGACTTGGCCTCCGTGCTGAGTGCCGGCTCCAGGCTCACAGAGCTGGACCTGCAGCAGAACAAGCTGGGCGACCTCGGCGTGAAGCTGCTCTGTGAAGGGCTCAGACGTCCTACCTGCCAACTCATGCTCCTGTGGTAAGGCCCTGTGGGTGCCTCTGGGCAGAGGGCAGGGAAGTGGTGGGGAGGGGTGGCAAGGGAGGCAGGTGCCATGAAATTGGACAGGGCAAGGGAAAGGGACAAAGAAAAGCACGGTCAGCCTGGCTTCCTTACAAGCGCTGCCACTTACTTAGGCCGCGTGACTTGGGCAGGTCTTCGTCTGAGCCTCAGTTTCTTCATCTGTATAATGGGTCTATCATAACTGCTTCATCGACTGTAATGAAACAAAAGGCATGTAAAAACCAGAACAGTGGTGGGAATAGAGCTGAGCCGGATGAGAGGATAACTATTAGTGAGGCCGAGTGTTCTGAGGGGACTCCCAGGTTCACTTCTCCACTCCAGGGCGGTGCTTCCTCCATTCCTCCATTCCTCCGTCCCTTCACTCATTCCTTCATTCATTGCACGCCTCCTATCAAGCACTGGACCAGGCCCTGAGGATGCAATAGTGAGCACGCAGACGCGGCCCTGCCCTCCTGCAGCTTACACTCTAGTGGGAACGAGATAGACTTTCCTCACATATTAACACGCACACATGTATTTCCAAACTCCACGGAGTGCTGTGAAGGGAAAGCGCAGTGCCTTATGTGAGGGGGAACATGCGGGGAGGACGGAACTAGAGTGAGGGGCCAGCGAGGGATTCTCTGAGGAAGCGACACCAGGCCGAGATCTAAAGCAGAACTAGTTGACCGGGCCCAGTCTGAGGGTGCAGTCCAGACAAAGAGAATATATGGGGGAGGCCCCGGGACAGAAACGGGCTCAGAGCACGGGAGACCCATGTGGCCAGAGTGCGGTGAACCCCAGCCCTCATCTCCCATCCTGCAGGCCCCGAGAGCCGCGTCCTTCTCTGAGCAGCCACTCCCCAAGCTGTCTCTCGGCCGCTTCCTCTTTCCTTCACGTCCTGAATACAAGTCCACAGGCTATTTCTGGCTGGACACTCCCTGCAGCTCCTGGCTGGGGCCCTGGGACACACTCAGAGAGCTGACAGGGGCCCCAGAGCCCCACCTGTCTGGACCCCTCTGGTCCTGCACTGAGGCTCCAGCCAGCTCTCGAAGGGGCTCTGTGAAGCGGGGCCCTGGCTTTCCTCAGCCAGGCCTCCCTCATTGACTCTGCAACCTAAAGGAGGAGGGGTCAGAGCAGGGTAACCGGCTTCGCAGTCCGCCTGTGGGAGCTCTCCACGCTGACTCGGACCCTTTCCACCCAGGGAACTGCATCCCTGGGGATGGCACCTTCGCTCCCCAGCCCACTCCCCACCGAGCATTTCTGCTCTCTCCATCTCCTCTGTGTTGAAGGGCCTCTCCAGAGCTGGGCCTTTGCAGGCAGATCCGGTTCATGCCCCAGCTGACCAGGGACTGGTCAAATCTTGGTTGCCTCAGGGCAGCTTGCTCTCTGATGCCCTGTGAAGGTTTCTGCCTCCTTCCTTCCTGGAGCCCGGGACCTGGTTGAGAAGGACCACCTTTGACATCGTGGGCTCCATCCCCTCCCCAGGCGGAGAACAGCTCTGATGGCAGTCATGAGTGAGGTGTGCCCCACCCTTTACAGGGCGCCAGGTCTCTTCACCTGCCTTGTCCATGGCTCACAACAGACAGAGCAGGTCCTTCCGTGCTAGACATGAGGACACAGAGGCCCAGAGAGGGCAACGGCTATCCCAAATCCAACGGGAAGCCCCAGAACACACGGCCTGCGAGATGGAAACAGGGCACTCTCTTTCCAACAAACCTCTATCCCCTGGGAAGCAAATCCCAGGACCTACCCCCAGGTGGTCATTTGGGCAAATGGCTGTTCTGTGGCGGACGCTGTGAAGAGCTGCCCTGATCCCCTTCAGGAACGAAGCCGTAACCCCTAGCCATTGGGAATGCTACTGGCAGCCAACTACAGGGCTGGCCTCTGCCAACGATGGCCATCTCAACCAAGGCGACCTCACCTTCCTGGGGTGGCCTACGTCCAATGACTGACTGGTGATAGGGTATAAAGACCCAGCCCCTCATCCTAATTTGGGACAGCTCTGAAGGGCCATCCCAGCTTCAGAACCCCCCGCAGAGTTGGCTGAGGTCTGCGTTGAGATTGCATCACAGCCCAACTTCCCCTTCTGTGCAATCCTGCTTCCCTCTCTTCCTTTGCCCTGTATGTTGACCCAAGAAGACACCCTAATAAACCTCCTCACTCTACTTTCCATCTCAGAGCCCGATTCCCAGGGAAACCAACCTGTGACAGGCTCCCAAAGGAGGTGGCAGATTCCTCGCCTCTGGGCCTTGAGGACCTCAGGGTCGTATGGGGGTCCCAGGAGAACTCGATTTCCTCTGTGCTTGCAGGCTGGACCAGACCCAGCTGAATGAGGAGGTGACGGAGATGTTGCGGGCCCTGGAGAAGAACGCTCAGCTGCTCATCCTCAGCAGATGGTAAGGCGGGGAGACCCAGAACTTTGCAGCTGGCCCAAAGCCAAGAGATGGGGGAGAGACTTGGGGTGTGACAAAGGGAGCAGAGCCGGGAGAAAACCAAGAAACCACAGCAGCCAGAGTGAGGTTTGGCCTGCCCCGGGGTTCTTGGCTACTGTGTCTCAGATGAAATGGAAGGGAAAGGGCGCCTAGGCTTAGGAGGAAGAGCCATTCATCACTGGAGAAACGGTTCCCTGCAGACCCGCGGTATGTTAGACACACTGCAGTGAGCAAGGGCCAGGAGCTTAGTCCAGGAGGGAGACGGGCACAAGCGACCCCCAGCCTGTATAATCGCACCCGGGGTCAGTGTGAGTGTATTGCTGGGCCCACCTGTCCAGAGGAACTGTGCTGAGCTCTGAAAGATGGGAGGGGTTAGCTGGGCCGAGAAGGGGTCAACTCCAGGCAGAGGTAGAGGCTCTGAGCTTAGCTCCTTTGAGGAATAGAAGAAGGCCCGGTGTCTGGAGCAGTGTTACCCAAAGTGTAGGCCATAGACCAGCAGTGTCAGCATCAGCATCACCAGGGAGCTCGTCAAAAATGCAGTCTCGGGCCCCACTCCAGACCTGCAGAACCTGAATCTCTGGGGGGGTCAAGGAATGTGTGTTTTAACAAGCCCTCCAGGTGATTTTCAACACCGCGTTTGAGCAGCGCTGGTCTAGAAGTGAGTGAGTAGGGGAGAGTGACACAGGTGGGATTAGGGGGTGGAGGACACAGGGGCACAGTAAGGCCTTTTGGGCCATGTTAAGAACTTTCAATTTACCCCAAAAGCAATGAAGAGACATTTCAGGGCTTCAGCAGTGAAGTGATGTGCCAGATTCATATTTCAAGATCAGCTGCTGTGTAGAAAATGCACTGGAGAGGGGCAAGAGCAGAAGGATGCTACGGTGGTTCAATCACAGACGCCAGGCCTGGGACTAGGGTGGAGGCCATGCAGGTGGAGAGAAGAGAATAGAATGGAAAGCTATTTTGGAGGTAGTGACTAGGAGATCAGTCAGCTTTCGGAGGGGGCATGGGAGGAGTCAGGACGACACCCCAGTTCTGGCACGGATGACTGGGCAGATGGGGGGCCATTCACAGAGACGGGAACTATGGAAAAGCTCAGACGGGGGCCATGAGTTCAAATTCAGATGAGCTGAATTTAAGCAAGGATGCCTCGTAGACAGGTCTAGCTTCCTCCAAGATCTCAAGGAGAATGAACAACTAACTCTGTGTCTAGGAAGCCGAGTGTGACGACCCCTAACGAAGGCCGGGATGGAGGAGAGATGAGTGAAAACAGGTGCTCACTCAAGCGGCAGAGAGCAGAATCAGGTAGTTTGAAGGGGCCAGGCTGACAGCCTCACAACAGGATGGCTCCTGGGGCAGCTGTGGAAGGTCATCCCCTCCATCCCCCTGCCTCTGGTTCGGGACAGGGCAGTTTCCTCACCTAAGAGAGCCCGCCCCATGCAAAGTCTCCCACTCCTAGAACTTTCTGCTTCCCTCTCTCCCAGCCTCGGGAACTGGGGCTGTTCCTCTCCAGAACATATGTGGCATGTCTCAGACTCTGAGCCAGGGCCCAGTCTCCGAAGGCCCACTCTGGGCTTCTGAGGTCTGGGCATCACCTCTCCATTCCTGCCCATTCATCTTTTGAGCCATGTTCCTCTCATAAGCTGCCCACCTGGGGCATGCTGGGAAAAGCGACACTTCTGGATCTTGGGAAAGGGCAGGTGGGCAGGGGTTGGGTCAGGGGGCAGCAGGATTGGGCCTCCCCAGAGAGCAGGCGGGCAACCCAAAAGCAGGAACAGAGGCTGCAGACACATGCCTGCCACAGTCCAGGCAGATCAACCTTGGGAGGGGCCCCTCCAAGGTCCAGCCTTCAAGGGCTGGTGGAGACCAGACAGAAGAGCCTAGAGCTGACCACTGCCCTGCCTGTTCCAGAGAGCAGCTCCCCTCAAGTGGTACAGGTGCAACCCCTCTTTCTGCCTTTTCCTGCCTCTCCGGGGGACCCGCACGTGGAGCCTCTGGAGACCAAAGATGACTTCTGGGGCCCCATGGGTCCTGTGGCTACCGAGGTGGTTGACAAAGAGAGGAGTCTGTACCGGTGAGTGAGCGGGCTCTGCTAGCCCAGGCTGGCCTCTGCCACCCTACCATCCCTACACTGGGCCCCCACAGACGGTCAGCACCCCACCCACAGTTCATCAGGTCCCCTCCCCTTCCAAGCCAGCAGGCAGGCACAGGGCTGAGATACCAGGTGGGGGCTTTTATTATGGAAAAAGAGGTTTTATTAGGAAAATTTTCAAACATACACAAAAAGGAGCCAGGACTCAAAGTCAAATCTGTCTGACGCCAACATCTCAGCTTGTAGCCACTCGGCTAAATCCACAGTGCCCTGCATGGGGTCTGGCATCAACGATGCGCTCAGTGAGTTTGTGTAGAGTAATTCAGTGTCTACCTCTCCCTGTTTCTCCCAGAGTTCACCTCCCCATGGCTGGCTCCTACCGCTGGCCCAACACAGGTCTCCATTTTGTGGTGAGAGGGCCAGTGACCATCGAGATTGAATTCTGTGCCTGGGGCCAATTCCTGGACAGGACTGTCCCACAGCACAGCTGGATGGTGGTAGGGCCTCTGTTTGACATCAAGGCTGAGCCAGGAGCTGTGGCAGCTGTGTACCTCCCTCACTTTGTGGTCCTCCAAGGTAAGCAAGAGCGAGGGGTGGAGGGAAGTGATGGTGGAGAGAACAGGCCTGAAGGGGGCTTTGGATGGCAACATGCTGGGGGAGGAGCTCGGGGCTTCCTTAGAGACACTGAGAGGGTTGTAGAGTGGGGACGGCTTTTCCCTCATTCCCCAGTGCTCTGGGCATACCTTTTTTGAAGTATATTTCTCTCCCAGCCTCATAATTATTTTTGCCTGAATTCCTTGCAAGTTTCCCTATATAGAAACTGTTCTCCTCCATAGCAACAAGAACTGGCACTTAGTAAGTGCTCTTCACATAGCTTGTATCACTCACGGTCCCAGCAGGAAACAGATGATATGCTGTTGAGGTTTTTGAAGAGATTTTTCAAAGACAGCACTATTTACAAAGTAAGTCTAAGTGAACTCACAAGAATGTTGGGGTACCTAGGGACTAGTAATGAGAAGAAACCATGTCACCAGATTCCATTTGAGAGCTGCAGCCACGAAAGGGGGGCTTCCCAGTAGGATATGTAGTCAGAAAGAGTAATGGACTTATGCCCACCTCGCTCACCTCCAGAGACTTCCCACAGATAAAGTGCCAAGAAATATAAGTTCACGGTCAAAAATCTCAGGAACAGCAAACAAGGTACCATAAGTGAAAATCAATGGAAACTACAGGTACCAGAATCAGTCCCATAAAGACTCAGACATTGAAATGACCACGAACAGAACACAAAATAAGTACGTTTCATATGCTTAAAGCCATAAGTAGTCTTAAAAAATATGAGCAAGAAGCAATAAACCATTAAAAATTGTCAACTGAGTTTGGAAACAAACTGAATTTATAGAAAATATAGGGGAAAAAAGATTAAGTGGCAGGGAGGATGGCATGAGGAGGCTTAACATGCATCTAATCAGAATCCAAAGGAATAAGATAGAGAGAATGGAGAAGATGCAGTACTCAAAGAGAGAATTTCTAAGAAATTTCTAGAATTGCTGAAAGTTGTGACTTCTCATAATGAGAAATCTCAAAAATCAAAAAAAAAAGAGAGAGAAATCAGCACTAGACCCATTATAATGAAACTACAGAATACCAAAGTCAAAGGGAAGGTCTTGACAGCACCCAGAAAGAAAGATAAATTATCTAGCAAGGTACTGCAATTAGGCAGACAACTGACTTTTGAACAGCAGCAATGGAAGGCAGAAGATGATGCAATGACATCTTCAATCTACTGAGAAAATAGCCGTCAATCAAGAAAATTGTAACCACAGAAAAATTATTTTTTTTAAGAAGAGAATAAAACAGATTTTTTTAAAACAAACTAAAACCAAGAGAGCTTTCTACAAGCAAATCCTGACTAAAGGAAATTCTAAAGGATGTACCCCAGGCAAAAGGAGAATGATCCCACACGGAAGGTGTGAAGTGCAAGATGGAACGGTCAGCAAAGATTCTGAGATGTGTATGGGTACGTCTAAGAAAACATGAACTGGATAAATCAACAATAATAATGTCTGATGCCAGGGATTTAAAAGAGAATGAAAATGCCAACGACAATAGCAAAGAAGAGTGTTAAAGAATTCTAAGGGTTCTTTTTTTTTGAGATTTTTATTTTTCCTTTTTCTCCCCAAAGGCCCCGGGTGCATAGTTGTATATTTTAGTAATAGGTTCTTCTAGTTGTGGCATGTGGGATGCCGCCTCAGCATGGCCTGATGAGCGGTGCCATGTCCATGCCCAGGACCCGAGCTGGCAAAACCTTGGGCCACTGAAGTGGAGCTCACGAACACAACCACTCAGCCACGGGGCCGGCCCCAGAATTCTAAGGTCTTTGTGTTGTTCAGAAGGAAGGTAAAGACTGCACCAGTAGTGCTGTCCAGGTTAAAATGCTGAAACACTTCTGAACTGGCCAGGAAAGAAATTCTCCACTTTCTGAGACCACGAATGACCTCACATCATACAGTGCTGGCCACAGAGGTGAGTAACAGGGCCTGAGTGTGGTGCAGGCATGAATGGCGTGGCCGAGGCAGTATCAGGCCAGACACTCAGGGTAGGCAGGAGGGTCCGAGCCTGTTGGGCAGCAGGAGGGGGCATCAGGAGCACTGTTGTTGGCAGGGGCTACAGCACGGGCTTTCCATACCAGGCCATGTGGGCACAGGGGGCATCAGGGGCCCACCCAGCCAGTGCTGAGTGCCAGGCACCCAGAGTCTATCAATTTAATGAGAAAGTTAGAAGAGTCTGATGCAGCTCCCCATGTCAGATCATGACTCAAACAGGAGCATCACTTAATTATGATAGAATGATTTAATAAACAATTTGTGTTACAGCTTATATCAGTTATAAGCACTTTTATGATATGTATGAAATAAAGGGGGATATGTTTTCAATGTTTCATTGGTATATTGATTGATACATTAATTTATAGTGCCAGCCCCATAGTTAAATATATTTGGTAACCTCTAGGTCAAGGGACTGATTTACGTTAGGTTTACATTAAAATATTAGGGTCAAATATATTAGGGTCAAAAATATTATAATCAGGGGCTGGCCCCATGGCCGAGTGGTTAAGTTCGCGTGCTCCGCTGCAGGCGGCCCAGTGCTTCGTTGGTTCGAATCCTGGGCAAGGACATGGCACTGCTCATCAAACCACGCTGAGGCAGCGTCCCACATGCCACAACTAGAAGGACCCACAACGAAGAATATACAACTATGTACTGGGGGCCTTTGGGGAGAAAAAGGAAAAAAATAAAATCTTTAAATATATATATATATATATTATAATCAAAGAATATATGTGCAAGAAGAATAATTTACAAACTAGTAGAAAGAAAAAGATGGAATGATAAAAATAACAAGCAGGGAACTGCCCAGCACCCAGGACCAGGGAAGGCTCATTTGTTGAGACCACAAGGCTTAGTAAACAATTCGAGCTGCACACCAGGAAGAGAGCATGGGGCGGGGAAATGACCAGGACCAAGGGGAAAGACTCGGGGATCCGGAGGCACATGGCTGGACAGACAGGGTCATTAGGGAAGGTTCCAGAGTAAAGCATGAGGGAGGGAGGAGCAAGATAGCTCCAGGGGCTGTAGAGGCCCACCACATGGGGGAAAGCTGGGGAGCCAGCACTGATGGCTCAGACCACAGCTAGGACAAGTTATTTCCTCGCACCTGACCATCTGCAGAGTGGTAAATATAGCCGCTACAGCAGCCATCCTGCCCCTCCCACAAAGTGAGACCTTGCCCAGGGGGTCTCTGCCAGGGACAGAGGGGCTTGGCCCATGGAGTCAATGGGTTCGGCTCTGCCCAGCAATGAGAGCACTTGGTCTGCCCTTGGCCTGCCATGCTCAGGGCTACACTGCCACGCTCCACTCTACGCCAAGACATTCTAGGAAAAACCTGCTGCGTCCAAGGCCTGGAGCCAGAAGGCACCAGCAGTGCCCGAGAGGGCAGCGTGACTTTAGCACCTGCTCCCAGGCCCCCTTTCACACCAGCTCTCAGGGGTGGGTGAGCCCGCCACGCCCTGTCAGGAGGACACCCCAACCATGCCCTGGTCAGTCTTGTACATCCTTCTGGTAGGCCTAGGAAATGGGATTTGCCCAAGGAAGAAGTGGCCCTCCAAGGGCACAGGAATCTAGCCTAAGCCTATAGGCTGAAGGCCAGATGCGGACAGGAGTGAATTCACCAAGTTGGTGGCACTTTCTCTGAGGATTCCTGGGACGTGGCTAATCATAACAAATGAACGATTAACTGAGCGTTCTGTGCCTGATATCACACAAGGCAGTTCCATATGTATTGGTAGCATCTCAATTTTTGTAACGACCTGGTAAGTTAGGTACTATGATTTTTCCCTTTTGTATCAATGAGGAAATTGAAGCTCAGAGAGGTGAGGATGCTTCCCAGAGCTGGGGTCCTATTAACCCTGCAACGAGAGCTACATCCACACCCACCCCACACCTGCCCAAGCCCATGTGCCATCAGCCTTCCCTAGACCACCTTTGGACCCCACCCTGTGCCCGGACAGCACTTGTTCCCTTTGGATTCCGTACACAGGGCAAGAGGTGAAATGCACAAAGGCTGCTTGTAGCTCACCATGGCCACGCCCAGCCAGGAATCCCAGCCCCTCCAGGAATCCCTGCTGCCTGCTGCCTGGGCTGCAGCTGTCGGTTGTCCTGGAAACAATGACCTCACTGCCTAATGCGATACTAATTTAGGATTTGGGCACTGGCTGCTTCTTCACTGTCATTGGTGAGGTCCTATATCAAGTTATCAACTTTCCACGGTGAGTTTTCTCCCACTATAGAAGGAGCTTAGAGCTTTTAGTATCTCAGCTTCACCCCAGGGCCTCACAGAACTCGCCGCTCTGGGCAGTCTCATCCTCCTGCAGGACCAGCTCCATCACTTGTGAGGTCCAGAGCAAAATGAAAACAGGGGGCCCTTTGTTCAAAAGTTATTAAGTTTCAAGATGGCAACAGTAGAGCATTAAACCAAGCGTCAGGCCCTTATGAGTACAGAGCTCTGTGTGACTGCATAGGCCACGTGCCCATGAAGCTGGCCCTGTCCTTTCAGGTCCTTCACGCCCCCACTACCCATCTCCCCCAGCACACACAGACCCCTGCTCTCCACACAGCCCTTCCTCCAGGAAAGTGAGTTCACTCACTTTGGTGTGCTCGCTCCTCTGTGCTGCCCGTGGGGAAGGAGGGTACTCACACAGCCACCTGGGTGGGATCGTTCCCTGCTCCTCCGTCTCGCCCTCCCTGCCTGCCCCAGGAATGCACCTGCTCTAGATTGCTGGGAACTACCATGATATTTCACATGCCTCGAGTCTGTTGCTTCTCTGGAACCAATGCCTTCTGAACTGTACAGCAATAAAGTCCAAAAACTACTCAGGTTCAGCAAAATGCATCTTCAAAAGATCAGAGTAGCTTTTCCTTCCCAGACCCCAAGGGTTACCAGGAGGAGTGGGCCAAGTCATTTAAGGAAGAAACAGAAAGAACCACAACAGCCAGGTTGTGATGCTCTTGGTCAAGCTGCATTTTACCCATAACCATAGCATGTCACCCTTCTATCCAAGTGCTTTGCGGACACAGACTCGTTTAATCTTCAGAGTCACACTAGGAGGTGGACGCTGTTGTTGGCTCCACTTTGCAGGTGATGCAAGGAGTGGTTAAGTAACCTGCTCAGACTCTCAGAGGCAGTAAGTGGTTTTGCTGGGAGTCAAACTCCGGCAGCCCATGTCATTAACCACTTGGCCAGACAGCCCTCTATGCCCCCACCTTTATGTAGTGGGGCTCCCGGTGCCCCTCCTCCAGCAGGAAAGTCACTTTACCCTCAACAGCTCACCTGAGCCTGGAAGGTGCTGAGAACACATCAGCAGGAAGGGTAGGGCAGTGGAATCAGACCGTAAGGCCAAGGGCAGGGTTTAAATGAGAGAGAGCCCTCAGACTCCTGGACTGTGGGAGTGGCAGTGGCCCAAGGCTGGGAAGGAGGAGGGACAGCACGTGTGAGCTTTGCTCGTTGTTCTATTTGCTGTCTGTCTTCCCTGTTGGGCCATGAGCTCCAGGATTGCAGAGCCCGTGCTGTCCCTCTTCACAGCCATAACCACGGGGCCTGGATTGAGGAGCACAAGTAAACAGAAGTTTATTGTGTACTTTTGTTTAATAAAGGGATGTGAGTCCCTGGGCCCCGGATCCTGCCACAGAAACCCTCCTACCCTGTGATGGCTGGTTCTGAATATTTCTAATGAGACCAGTCAAAGGCAGCTCCAGAGAGAAAGTCTTTATGCCAGTGATACCTGTCCCAGTCACCACTCACCCTTCTTCCCCTTCAGACCAGGATCTTCTCTGTTGCTTCCTTTCTCCCTCCAATCGGTTAGCACAAATATACTCAGTCAGCAAGTTTGGATAAAGGGATTCTGTTACAGTCTATGGAAAGGGCAATATGCACACATAGTAGGATGACCAGCTCATCTTGGTTTGCCTGGGGTCATCTGATTTTAGCACTGAAAGTCCTGCATCTCTGGAACCCTTTCAGTTCTGGGCAAGCCAGGACAGTTGGTCACCCTAACAAGAAGGTGAGCTGGAGACACACAGCACCTTCCAGAATTCAGCCAAAATTAGCGTGGCACAGAGCAGTCTGAAAGTGCCACCACTGTAGTCAGAGGGCAGGGTTCTTGTCATAGGGCTCTGGCAGGCTTGTGACCTCGGGAAAAGCCCTTCCCTCCCAGGGTTTCAGTTCCCCCCATCTGACCTGTGAGGACATTCCAGTGCTGTGAAGGGCAAGGTGAGACCATCCACTTAGTGACACCAGTGGCAGTGCAAAGTGGCACCCGCTCTTGGAGAAGAAATTTGGCTAAAGCGGACAAGTCATAAAAATGTTCCAGGGGGCTGGCCTCATGGTCGAGTGGTTAAGTTCACCCGCTCTGCTTTGGCGGCCCGGGGTTTCACCAGTTCGGATCCTGGGCGCGGACACGGCACCGCTCATCAAGCCATGCTGAGGCAGCGTCCCACATGCCACAACTAGAAGGACCTACAACTAGAATATACAACTATGTACTGGAGGGCTTTGGGGAGAAAAGAAGAAGAAGAAAAAGATGAAGATGGGCAACAGGTATTAGCTCAGATGCCAATCTTTAAAAAGAAAAAAAATGTTCTCATCGTTTCACACACTTTTCTCATCCCCTGGGACTTATTGATTCCAAGGCAATAACCCAAGGGAAATCGAAAAGCTCTCTGCAGAAATATGTGCATATGGCAGCACTATTTATGATGGAGATAAGCTGGAAGCAACCTCAACACTGAAACAAGAGGTGAGTGGTGAATTCCAGGATGATGCATTCACTAGCAGGGAGTGTATGCTGCAGTCATTAGAAAGGTCTGACAGGGCCCTGCCCAGTGGCGCAGCAGTTGAGTTCACACATTCCACTTTGGTGGCCCGGGGTTCACAAGTTCAGATCCTGGGTGCAGACCTACGCACCACTTATCAACTCATGCTGTGGCAGGCGTCCCACGTATAAAGTAGAGGAAGATGAACACAGATGTTATCCCAGGGACAATCTTCCTCAGCAAAAAGAGAAGGATTGGCAGCAAATGCTAGCTTAGGGCTAATCTTCCTCACAAAAAAAAAAGGTCTGACAGATGCTTGCCACAATTTAACCTGACCTGGGAAAGGCAGGAGACAAAGCTACGTGGACTACAATGGAAACGTGGAAAGATGTTGCTGCAGAGAAAGACTAATGGAAAAGGGAAAGATGGTAATAGTTGCATTGTTTGATGAGATCACAGGTGAATTCTTCCACACTTTTTCAGATTGTGTACACCACTGTGGTGTTATTTTTCACCCCAAAAAAGCCATTAATAAATGAGAAAACTTAAGTAATGGTCTCCATGGCCCCTTCTGGCATTAACATCACTCAGCAGTGTTCTGATTGGAGCCCATGCAGCCTAAGAGCCTTGTCTGGCTTGCCAGATGCCCCTCTGTTGCCAGAAACCACCTGCATTGCGGCAGTTGCCAGGCAACACAGGGATGGAGCCAGGACTCCTGACCTCTAGGCCAGGGTTGCTCCCACTGCCAGCCTTCATCCCTCACGCTCTCTCTTGTGGTGTTAACATCCTCGCCTGGTGCACAGATCTGCGTTCTTGGCTGCAATCAAAGAAACCAATTCTGTCTGATTTAGGCAGAAAAGGAATGTATAGGATGATTCTTGAGTAGCTTATAGACTTAACAAAAGATTAGGCAAGCCTTTAAAAAAAGATGCAGCACCAAAAGGTGCTGAGAAACCAAGAACATAGCCAAGGTCACACAAAGAAAAATATGGGGAGACCTCTGTTGCAGACACAGCCACAGCAGGACCCTCCTGCCATGGTGGCCACTGGACTCTTGACTCTACTGCTGCTGCCAAGAGAATCTCTGTCTTTTCATCTTTGCTTCACCCCCTCAAGATCAAGGGCCTGGTTAGGAGCATCCACTTAGTCAAGTCTTGGTTGCACACCTGTGTCATAGCCACCAGGAAGTAGAGACTTCCTGAGTGGGAGGACCAGCTTGTCTCCTGCCAAGATCCACACATGGTGGAGAAGGAGGTTCTTCCTGACAGGAAGAGTCTGAACGGTGGGTGGCCAAATACTTGACAAATGTACACTACGCTTGGTCACTCCATTTCCACTATCCTTCCCTCCTCCTTGTTCTCCAGCTGCCTGGAGACAAACCTGCCAGCATCACTAACGGCCCTCACAGTTACAGACTTCACACCAGCACAGGTTATCATGGGGTCAGTGTCTGTCCCAGCTCCAGGGCCAGGGACTGGGCCTGTGTATGGATTTGGCTCAAGGGAGTTCCTACAGTGCTCCCACCCTGGAGACAGTATTGCCGACATCCCCCAAAGGCTCCAGACCCAGCCATGCCCCCTTCCCTGGCTGAGTGCCCCATGAAGGCCACTAAGCCTACACCCTGCGACCCCACTGCTCCAGCCAAGCCTGACTCAGTCAGGGTACTAAATCCTCACCTCTTGAATCCATTCTTTGACAGGGGCCCATGTGGACATCTCCCTGTTCCAAGTGGCCCACTTTAAAGAGGAGGGGATGCTCCTGGAGAAGCCGGCCAGGGTGGAGCCATGTTACGCAGTCCTGGAAAACCCCAGCTTCTCCCCGGTGGGAGTTCTACTGAGAATGATCCATGCTGCCCTGCCCTTCATTCCCGTCACCTCCACCGTGTTGCTGTACTATCACTTTCAACCTGAGGAAGTCACCTTCCACCTCTACCTGATCCCCAACGACTGCACCATTCGGAAGGTGGACTAAGAGCCAGAAAGGGCGGGCCAGGGTGGGCTGTGAGCAATCATGAAATGCAGCCAGAGAGCCCCCCAGATGGGTCAACTGGGAATAAGGATAGGCCTCTTTATAAAAGGGTACCTTGAAGTGGGTGAATAATCCTGCCCCCTGCTCAGCCATGGACTGGTCTCCTGGCTCCCTAAGGTCTCCCCCAGTGGGGTTTGCTGCTCCCTCACTCATCTCTGGGCAACCTTTTGCAGACTCTTTCCAGGTGTCAAAAGGATGGGAAGGCCCCATGCCCAGAACTCTCTCCTTTCCCCAGTTCTCACTTCTTCTCTAGCAATGCCCCGAGACCCCCCCTGAACTTAGCCAAGGCCAAGGGTGGGCTTTCTGTGTAGCAGTGCATGGGGGGAGAGGGGTGCAGGGGTGGTACAGCCCCCCCTTCCCACACAAACACAGAGAAGCACCACGTTACTTTATTCAGACCAGACTCCATAGGACGGAATCTCTGAGCCAGACACCAGACACAGCCACATCTCCCTTGATCGTTGTTCTGTATGCTCCTTAGGCCATAGACGATGAAGAAAAGAAGTTCCAGTTTGTGCGAATACACAAGCCACCCCCGCTGACCCCACTCTACGTGGGCTCCCGCTACACTGTGTCTGGTTCAAAGAAGCTAGAAATAATCCCCAAGGTGAGCAGCCCAGATGTTCGCCCCTCACTGGGATCAGAGGTCACGCTTGGGAATACCTGTGGGGCAGGTCTCATAGCATTCCCAGGGACAAGGCAAAATGGAGTTGGGCAGACAGCAAGAGGGACTTAGGGTGAGCAGGAATGCTTCAAAGATTGGGAGAAAGGAAGCTAGTGAGAAGGAGGGTCCCATTCAGGATGGGGACGACAATGGGGTTTGACTTAGGGGTACTGAGAAGTGTTGGGCTATAGGATGTCAATGTCCTCCAGGCGAAAGCACCAGGAACACATCTGGAGCTGAACACTCTGGGTTTATTACTCACTGCAGTAAGAGAATATGAGCCATGGGGAACGGCGTGGCCTCTCAGTACAAGAGCATTGGAAAGAACTCAGTATAGGATTTGGGCCTTGGTTGGGTAATTTGGGGAAAAGCCTAAGGAAATGGAGATTTTCTCTAGATTGGGTGTTGTCAGAAGGCAGGAGCAGTTCTATGATTGGGAACCTCAACAAATCTTATCTCTAGGGAGGGCAGACACAGCAAGGACAAAGCTATAATTGCTTACACAGCAGTCACTCATTTAGTGGGAAGAAGGGATGTTTGGCATTTTGTGGGTTGCACAGTGACCTGTCTGAAGGGGACATTCTGTGAAATTGCGTGTGTCCTACAAGGACAAAATGGCTGGGATGGCAGCCTCAGGTGAGACTGTAATAACACTGAGCTTTGGCTGTGAGCATCAGATCAGTCCCTGGATGTCACGGGCAGGCTTTTGTTCTTTCTCAGTCTCCCCTTTCAGCCACAGGGGCATGACATCAGGCCACTGGACATTCGTCCATGACATTCAATCTTCACCCTGCCCAGATTTTGCTGCTTAGGATCAGAGGGTCCACTGAATGGTAGTCTGTGGTTGACTTCTTTTCTCCTTCTGTTGTGAGATGAATCGTTGAGCCATCTCATGTGACAATGACAAATGGAATAGATATCCAGTAGTTAGGAGGAAGTGATATATCTTTTGAGTTGGGAAACATGAATCCAAGGATAAATACCTTGGATTTTCCTGCTATATCAGTTGTAAACAAGGGATGAGAGACATGATTCAGTCATTCAACAAACATTCACCCAGTGCCAACTATGCACCATCTTCAGTGGGGATAATTCAGTGAAAAAGACAAAGCCTTGTACTTGGGAAGATGACATCCTGGTGGGGTGAGACCTATATAAATAATTAAAGAAATAATGACCACGAACCATGAAATTCTGTAAAGAAAATACAACCAAGCCATGTAAGAGAGTGACTTGGGCAACTTTATACTGGGTGGTCAGGGGAAGTGTCTCTGAGGAGGTGACATTTGTGAGACTTGAGTGACAAGAAGGGCTCAGGTACATGGAGGTTTGTGGCAGAGTACTTCAGGAGCAGAGGCATAGAGGCAGGAGGGAGCTTGATACCTCCAGGTGACAAAGTGGAGGCCAGTGTGGCAGAGCTTAATGAGTGTAGCAAAAGAGAGGAGGAAGATGGGGCCAGACAAGAGGCAGAGGTTTTGTAGGGTCCATTGACCCCATTAGCCCTGACCTGGAGTTTGGATTTTGTTCTAAGAGCAATGACAGGCGTTTAGAGGGTCTTAAACTTGGTAATACAAGACCCGATTTACTTTCATATAGATGCCTCTGGCTGCTGGGTAAGAATGGAAACACGGACAAGTGGAAAGGCTATTGCAATACTGCAGGCAGCAGTTGATGGCGGCCTGACTGGGAAGGTCACAGTGGAGACAGAGAAAGGTTGATAGATTCACGGCATATCTTGAAGGTAGAGCCAATAGGACTTGGCCTGTGGGGAGGGAAAGGAAGGAGTTAAGGATGATGCCTAAATCTGGAAACTGAGTGCTGAGTGGGCAGTGGTGCCATTTACTGAGTTTGGGGAAAGTGGGGAGAGAGAATGTTTGGAAGACAGTTGGGAATCAAGAGTTCTGTCTTGGATGTGATTTAGGAAAGGAGATGAATATAAATTTTCTGTTGATTGAAAGTGGGTCAAGTTTAGGATCCAATGAGAAGAGAGGATTTGGGCTGGAGAAATGAGGGTTTGGGGTCAAGATAGGGGAGACAGAGGAAGAAGGATCTGGTTCAAGGTGGAGGGAGAAGGATCTGGTTTAGGATGTGCGAGCACTACATTTAAGGATGAGTCCTGACTCATCCATGGGGTCCCAGCTGTGTCCTCATCCTTCCGAGTCACGATTTGTGGGAAATTAGGAAAAGAGCAGTGTCTGAAGGTAATGATTAATTTCAGTACTGATTATCCTAGTGTCCCTGTGGGGTTGAGCAGGGCCAAGAGGATGTCAGATGGAGAAAGATCTCACTTACAGGATGATCGGTGGCTTCTCACATGACGACTCTTTCTCTCTGCAGGAATTGGAACTCTGTTATCGGAGCCCTGGGGAATCCCAGCTCTTCTCTGAGTTCTACATTGACCATTTCGGGACAGGGATCAAGCTGCAAATGAGAGACAAGAAAGATGGGACTGTGGTATGGGAGGCCTTGGTGAAACGAGGTAAAGTTGAGACAAGTCCAGGGAGCTTAGAGGTGGGAGAGAGAAAGTCAATTAAAGTGTGCATGTGTGTGTGTGTGTGTGTGTGAGTTTGTATAATCACAATTTGCTGATGGGAAAAAAATAGCTCAAAGAAATAACGTGGCTTTTTCTAGTTGCATGACAGCTGATATGATAATAATTTGAACTCAAGTTAATCTGACTCTAAGCTCCATGCTCTCTCCCAAGAACCATGGGAGAGAACCATGGTGTTTCCACACTGCCCTTTAATTAACAGATTTCAACATGCACAAGGCCTTTGGCAAAGTTTCTCACAATAGCTTGGATGTGAGATGAAAGAATAAGAAGTAGGTGGTTATAGGGTTGTACGGCTTGAGCCAATTTTGGCAATATCAGATACTCTAACCTGGATCATTCAGTTATTTTCAAGGTAGGCAAGAGGGAATCAAATAATGAATTTTCAGGGGTGGATGAAACTTTACAGTCTCTTAGTCCAGCACCAATACCCCCAAGAACCAAAATACCCTAAACAGTTTTAGGAACAACCAGCCATTGTCAGCTATTGAAATATGGTGAATCTGGCTTCCGAGCTGCGACAAACAGGCTTCACAGTGTGGTGGGAAAGAGTGGGCTTCACTCAGTCTTGGCTTGGGTGCCATCACAGGTAGAGAACTAAGCAGCCCCAGCATCGCCCCTGGGTTTGAAACCCACTCTGGCACTTACTTGCTGCGTGATCTTGGGAAAATCAAATAACTCATTTGAGTCTCGGGTTCCTCAGCTGTAAAATGAGGATCATAATGCCTAACTTGTAGGATTAAATAAAATGATGTAGGAACATGTTTCATGCGGTGGCCCTTAATAAACAGTAGTAAAATTATTCTTTTTCCTCATATTAAGCCAATCTCTTCCTCCTCTTAGTCTCAACTCTGTCCCTTGGAGCTGACAGAAGTCTATTTCCTTCCTCATGGGAAAACCCTTCATATACTTGAAAACTGTGATCATGGCCTTCTCTAAGCCTCCTCTTATGCCAGTTAAACATTTCCAGTTCCTTCCATCACTGCTCTTCTATTTCGAATAACTGGGATTCTTTGCAACCCAGTCACCTTCCTCAGTATATGCTCCAGTTTGCAGATGAGTCAGGATGGACTCCATGCTGTCCAGTCAGCAGGAAGGATGTGGAACACCATCCTCCCTCCATATGAATGAACCCGGTGCTCCCAGTCCCGCAACTGGAGCTGCCCTCTCCTGGTGTCCACCTCCCCACACTGTCAGGTCACACTGAACTGGGGGTCTGCTCAGAATCTCAGGTCTTGTCCACACGAGCTGCTGTGGACTCCCCCTTCCTCTCCTTATGAAAGTAATTGTTTAAGCCTCTTCATTGGTTGTTGTTGCCGTAGTTTTTCCTATTGAAATTCACCCTTTCCTCCCAAGGGCTAAGATTTTCTTGATCTTGATTCTTAATTCTGACATCAAAATCCAGAACGGTGTGAGTCTAGAAGGCCAAACAAAGACAAGGAGGTACATTTCTGCTCAGGATAAGGAGATCTCAGATAGTTTAAGCTACCTAGCAAGGGACTTAGTTATTTTTCCACCAGGATTCCATTCAGGCCAAGACTGGATTAAACCATGTCTAGAGTGTGGAGGAAGAAACTGCTGTTGCTCATTTACTTGCCTTCTCTCTCTCTCTCTCCCTCTCTCCCACTCTCTCTCTCTCTCTCTTTCCCTGTCTATGGTCATGGCCTGTGGGCCTCAGTTTCTCCGTGGTCATGAGGAAGGGATTCACCCACATAATCTCGAAGGAGCTTTCCAGCCCTCACTCTAGATTCTATCAGAATTTGTCTGTAGCTAGTTCTCAGAATCAAAGAATCTCAGAAGTGGGTAAGAGTTTTGAGGATTATCACTTGTGTCAATAACTAGCACTGTTACAGATGCTTCTTCATATCTGTTTTCCTCCAGGAGATCTCAGACTTACCGCGACTCCGGTCCCTCCAGCCCTGAAAGGTCAGTAACAGCTGTTAGAGATCGCAGGAGCCATGGCAGTTCTGGAGTGTACTATCTGGTCCTGGAAGGGAGGGAAGAGAGAAAGAAAGGGATTCCATCATTGCAAACCTCACAAGGGATCAAGCCTTGGACAGTGGTGTGTGCCCTGGGGCAGAGTCCCTCCCCATCCCCCTTACTCCTGCCCATGGAGGCCCTGGCACCTCCCACTGGACAGCCTCAAACGCCTCCATCATGAACCCCCCCCACTAACCCCCCCAACCCCCAGCTCAAGCAGAGTGCTAGGCTAGATGCTGACATGACAGAGGGCAGAGGTGCCTTTCTGGTGGTTACAGGGGGAGAAGGAGCCAGGGATGCAGCTGAGGTGAGTGCAGAGAGCTGGGGGCGGGGGGCGCGGCATGGGAGGTAGAAGCCGTGGTGAAGCCCTTCTTTGTTTGTTGGCAGTCTCACCTTCACACGGACTTGCACCAGCCTCGCTGCACTTCGTGGACCGGTACCGGGAGCAGCTGGTGGCTCGAGTGACATCGGTGGACCCCGTCCTGGACAAGCTGCATGGACTGGTGCTGAGCGAAGAGCAGTATGAGAAAGTGCGGGCTGAGGCCACCACGCCGAGCCAGATGCGCAAGCTGTTTAGCTTCAGCAAGTCCTGGGACTGGGCCTGCAAAGACAAATTCTACCAAGCCCTGAAGGAGACCCATCCTCACCTAATTGTGGAACTCTGGGAGAAGTGGGGCCATGGAGGAGAGCTGGGGACTGCCAGCAAGCTCGGCAGCTGAAGTCTCAACACCACTGTGAGTCCTGGCTCGGCCTCACCACTCTTCAGGTCTCCATTTCTTCATCTTGAAACAAGGTGTCATCCGAGTTGCGTTCCAACCTTAAAGTTATGGAGCTTTGATGACGTCTTTGCTGGGTACCCACAGTGCCTCCCTTGGCTTTCACCTGCCGGCTGTCCAGGTGGGATGGCAGCATCTCAGGGAATGTCCATCTGGAGCTGGCAGGACTTCTGCAGACCTTGTAGAAGCCTAACCCAAGAGCCTGGTCTGGTGGCCACAGCAGCCAAGCCCAGAGCCCTCCCTGTGCCATCCAGATGCCAGGAGGAGCACGGGGGACATGGGACTAGCCACTTCTGGCTGGAGACAGACAATGGAAATGGACACCTTGGGGGTTTTGAATGGCTTGTGAACAGGGGCAAAAGCAGATTTATTTTTCATTTGTCTGTGTTGAGCTTGGTTTTCCTATTAGTCCAAATTGTGCTTTGTTGTTTCTGAAGTCTAGATGGATTCCTAGAGAGGAGCGGGGTGAAGAAGGAGACCAAAGGGGGAACGGAGTCTAGGTCTTAGCTTAGATGTCTTCTCCTGTAGAAAGTGATTCCATGCCCTTAGACCTGGCTTTGGTGCCACGGCCCTGTGGCCCTACAACACCTTGTGTCCCTCACCCCATCAGAGTGCTCAGCACATGGCATTGTCCCTCCTGCTTCATTGCTGGTCTCCCTTACTAGATGGTAAGCTCCCTGAGGACAAGAACTGTGTCTAATCTGCTCATCAGTTTATTCCCTGGCACATGGTGGGTATCAAGTGAGGATTTATGAATAGGTAAGTGATAAAGGAACTCTCCCTAGATACATCCTTTAATTCCCTTCCTGGCCACCATACCATCCATGAGATTCGGGGCCCACCCTAGTAACAATCCCCAAGTTAGTAGGCCACCCCCAGGGCCCCAGTGATTCAGTAATCTCAGAATTGAATCCATTGATGTTGAAACATTTATACCAATGTTGTTCTCAACTCACGAGAGCAAAGCTTCACTCATGCTACCCATGCCCAACACACAGCAGCACACGTTGATGGCATCTCCCTCCCCACTCAGTCACCTTCCTCCCTCAGCCACTCCTTCCTGCCGTCCACTTGGGCCTCACCCCCTGCTCTTACCCTCTACTGCACAGCCTGGGGTGGGGGGGTCTCTCTTCTCTGGCTTCCCTGACTCTGAGGACTGTTCCAAAGGTTAAATGAGACAATACATGGATGTGCCCAGATCAGCCTTTAGCACATAGTAAGTACACAATAAGCGGTAGATATAATCTCTTGGTTTCACTCTTCACTGGGTGAGTGAGAGAGGTCAGCATATCTATACTTCCCACAACCACCCCAAAAGAGAATTCAACAGAGTTAGTGCATGAACATTGAAAAGATTGAGAAGGGAAGGGTCCACACCTGTGGCATCAGTCCCAGTTGCTTTGTAAGCGTGTGCCAGAGGTGTCACCTTCTGGACTCATTGACTTTTTTGCTCAGGCCACATTGCTAACAGGTTCGATAAATTTGGCTGACTCTGTTAGGACCTTCCTCTGGACGAGGGTGTTCCTGAACTTTTGGATCCCAGCTCTTGGAGCTCTCTTGTGATGGAAGTGGAGTCTAGCAGGACACTCATATTTGAGAAGGATGTTCTTTTTCTAAGATCCAGGTAACTATGACTGCTTTCTGGTCCCAGGTAGGATAAGCCTGTGCAGAAGGCATGATATTGTCAGGATTCTGCACCCAAGACTCCGGCTCTCTGCTTCCAAGGACAAGAGATCTTGCTGATTTGAATGGATTCCAGATCAGCTCCCTGTGTCAGCAGTTTTCTGGTGAATTCAGCAGGTATACGACTTGACTCTGAATTTGATAACCTCGGCTATCTTAAGGAAAAAAGGTATGCCATGTTTGTCTTAGAGCTTGCTTCTTCTCCAAATGTGGCTAACACCCTCGTGTAGATCTCCCAGAAGCAGGGAAGAATTCTCTCAGGACAAAACTCTTTGCTTCCATTGCCTTGCACTGGGCACCACATTACCTATAGACACTGCCCATTAACTGGTTCTAATTTACCGGATTCTCAAGGTAAAACCCAGATCACCCTGGAGGAAGCTCTCATCCTGTTCACCAGGAAGCCACAGGTGGAGCCTGGTAGTTCAGGGCCTGCCCCTGACACTGTCCTCCAGTGTTAGCTCCCAGCTGGGGCTGTGACGATGGTTGGGGCAGGCGACACAGTAGAGAATCGTTGCAGGCAGGGTGTCTGGGGGCAGCCTTCAACTTCCTGCCATGTCATCTCTAAGGAGTACCCGACCTTGGGGAGACCCAAACAGCCCTCACTCCCTTGCTATTTTCAATAGCCCAGGGATATGTTCAACAAGCAAGAGGGCACAGACATCCTTGAAGCTGAACCCAGACCTGTGTGACGCTGAAGTCAGAGTCTGCCAGTGCGGCCACCCATCCTTGCCCTGTTCTAAAAGTGTTCTATGTATAAACCATGGAACCCTAATGGCTACTCCAGAGAAACAGAACCCATAGGATGTGTGTACATAGACACATATATATATAGTGAGAGAGATTTATTTGAAGGAAGTGGCTTGCACAATCATGGAGGCTGGCAAGTCCAAAATCTGCAAGGTGGACCAGCAGGCTGGAGACCCAGGATGAGCTGATGTTGCAGCCGCCTGCTGGCGGAATTCCCTCTTGCTCAGCGGAGGTCAGTCTCTTGTTCTCTTCAGACCTTCAGCTGAGTGGATGAGGCTAACCCACATTCTGCAGGGCAAGCTGCTTTACTCAAAGTCCACTCATTTAAATGTTAATCCCATCCAACTACACCCTCAAAGAAAGATTCAGAATAATGTTTGACCAAATATCTGGGTACAGTGGCCCAGTCAAGTTGACACATAAAATCAACCATCACAAACCCAATGATGACAGGCACTACTGACATCTTCATTTCCCCGAGGACACTGAGGCGGAGAGATGTTAAGTAACGTCCCCAAAGTGTCAGAGAAAGTAGGTGGTGGAGTTGGGATCCAACACATGGTAGGCTGGCTGCACAGTCCGCCCTCCTAACCACCATGCAAGCCTCTGTCAGATGAACCACTCACCATCTTCTAGACATGGAAATGCAGGGAAACTAGAGATTCCGGGGACTCGTTTACGATTGCCCACTATCGGGCTGAGAACATAAATTTGGGACTAGGTCATTCTGTCTTACTATCGGACAGACTTCAGCTGCCCAAAACTTTAGGCTTCTATGCCTCTTCATAGGCCTCCTGAAATCTCTCTTTTTTTTTTTTTAAATTTCTTGTGGCATCTACTGAGTTTCAAGAAACTATTTTCTTTAACCAGTGGGATGCAGCCTGTTGGTAAAAGCAGAGGTATTTTCAGGATCTGTATTCTGCCTTACTTGTGATCATCCGTGCCAAGGTATTGTACCAAAGTCTGACCAAAATGACTTTGGTGTGGGGACCAGACCCATGTATCCCACAGGGGTGAGATCCACCTCCTCCTGCCCCCAGATTAGCCCGTTCCCAGGATAGCTGACAGCGGGACTATCCAGGCCCTCCTTCACCTCTGCTTGCAGGAGCAGGCACGTCTGGGGACTGGGTCCCTTCAGCACCTGCAGTAACTGCTGTTTTGCATAACAAAGGTAGATTGTGTTGGCCCAGACATCTTTGAAATACTATGGATGAAGGAAAGCTGAGCTGTGGGAGTGGTGTGTGTAACGTTTGTGTGTTGTGAGGGGGGGTGTGTGTGTCCTCCTGTGATGGGCAGTCAGGAGTGGAGTGTAATGGACTCAGCTGCCTGCCCGGCCCTCCCTTCTTTTTCAGAACTGCCCCCTTTCCCCGCTACAGGCTCAATTGCTGCAGGAATAGCCATGTGCGTCCAACTGACTCTTTTCCCCTAGCCCCAGCAGACAGGCCACAGAGGAGATGTTAGCAGGGGGCAGCTTCTGGGACTAATGGAGGAAGCCAGGCTGCAGTAGGAAGGAAAATGAAGCAGGTGGGCAGAGAGAAGCAGGGGTGAGGGATGGAGACCGTGTGCACCCTGGAACACCCCGTCTTCTGTCGCCGCTTCCACTGTGTTGCTAAAGCCACAATACATCTGTGCTCTTGAGTTTCGTAAGACATACTGCTTCTTTATAATTTCCCCTCTTTTGCTTAAGCTAGTTCCAACGACTTTTCTGTTATTTGCAACCAAGAATCCTAAAAAAAAGCACACTGCCTTTGATCCCTTTTGGAATAAGGCAGGAACTTAATGCCTTCCCAGGCCCCCTTAAATCTCTACGCCCCTCCCACTAATGCGCTATAGCCAGCTCCTCATTATAACAACAACATTTGGTTCTAGCGACCCTTGGTCATCTGGGGCCCAAATCGGTCCCAATCAGGCACTGCCACAGCATGACCTCCCCCCTACCCTATTATTAGGGGCCAGTGGGCATTTGTATATCATGAAACTGCATTCTCCAAATTGGGGAACAGCAGGGCAGAATGCTAGGTGGACAGGGGGCCTAAGATTGAGGAATATGTGGGAGACAGAATTTAGACTGTATATCGAGTTGTGGGACAATAGGGAGGGGCAGCACAGGGAGCCACCGAGGCGTAATGGGAAGACAAGGACAGACTACAGGAAAGGCAGGAGAAGTCCTGCTATTAGGAGGAATGAGGGGGAAAGGAGCACCGAAGGATGAGCTCAGATATTGACAGGTCAGTAAAAGGCCAGAGAAGGGCCAGCTGCAAGGATTCAGTTCTGCAGGGCCAGCCCCTACTGATTAGAGCCTGAGTGTGAGCGGCAATACCCTCCGTGACACTAGAATTTCCCCAGAGCCTTTGTTCCCCTTGGCACCTTGCCCCCATCAGAACAGGCCAGCCCAGTCCTTGGAAGGCGTTGTCCGAGCAGGGCAGGGATCTCTCTCTTTGCTCAAGGGCCAAAGGTCTTCAGTGCTCGCTAGTGAGCAGCTTCAGCCCTTGGGAGTGCAAAAAGACCTCAGGCTGGTCCATGTGCAGAAAAAAGAGCTTTATTGCTCCGGCTCCCAAGCGACAATTTCCAAACTATACAACGCCATTTGGATACAAACCTGGCAATACCCACAAAGCCTCTAGCCTGGGACTGGGCAGCAGCACAGGCACCCACCAACAAGGCCCCCAGCACAATTAGCTCATAAAGTGACCCAAATAGTATCCCCGCCCCCCCGCCCCCCCACTCCCCGCCCCCACACCCTCCCTCACCCCCCCCCCCCCTCACACACCCCCCATAGACAAAACCAACGCCCACAGTCCCACTACTTCCGCCGGTAGCGGCACATGCACGCGTGAACCCAGCACCCTCGGGGCCTACGACAGCGCAGGCGCAGGGCGGACATTCAACCAACGTTTGCCCAAGTTCAGCAATGAATGAATTCTCAAGTGACGATACTCTTTAAAA